GGCATGAAAATAAGCAACTTTTATTACTAGTCCAGTCATTCAAGGTAAAATACGGCGTTGCTGTATAATTTTCCCAAACAAAAATCTTATAATTAAGTACCCTACAAAATTTTGCGTATCATTAATAGTTTTTGAGTTATTTTGAAGAAAAGACAATTTTTTCCAAAAATATAAAAATTCTCTTTTCACTTCAAGCCCAACTTTTTTCAAAACTAAGCACTTTAAACCAGTCGAAGTTCTAGAGCATATTACAAGTACATAAATAAAATAAATGTAAAGTGGTAACGATTATTTTCAATTGGTGTGGTAATTAGGGGGTGATTTTTCACGTTTTTTGTCGCCGAAAAAAATACGACTCGCTTAGGTTTGATATTAGGGATATTATAAAACATAAAAATGAAGGTTTTTTCGAGCACTTTAAAAAAGGTTCTATGAGTATTCCCTGAAAAATGCATTGGTTTTTGGTTATTTCACGTTCAAACTCTCAATTTTGGCGTTTGACGAATAAGAACCAACCTTCAACAAGCTATTACTACGCTTGTATGGGGTCTACAGACACCATAAATACACCATTCTTTTTGTTTTTTTTATAAGCTACATTTTTTATAAGAATAATTTTTTTTGATAAAATACTTACTTTTTGAGTTATTCGCGAAAAACCGTCTGAAAAAGTATTTTTATTTTTTTGGTTAAAAAATTTACACTCACTCGCGAATAAGTCGAAAAGTATTGACTCTCAAAAAAACTTTATACAACAATAATTTGCTTAGAATTAGTCAATATATTCATTGCCGGAGTTATTTTTAATGAAATATTTTTCACCCTCGAGAAGGGGTGGCATCCACCCTCAGGGTAAAAACAACCCTCGTTACAAGGTCAACTTTGAAGTAGAGGGTAAGTAGAACTTAAATTCAAAGTTTTATGAAAATCGGTGCTATTTGGCAAAATTATACGGGAAAATGGTCACTGAGTGGACTATCTAAGTATACGTTGTAAATTGAAAAAAAAAATCACACCAATACTGAATGTTGTGCATTCTAGCCGAGCACGTGCACAAGATGCACAAGGTAGGCTTACACGTACTATGGTTAATTTTCTCGAAAATAGAAGCATTTACACCATCAGTTGTTTAAAAAAAAGTTGCTCATTTTCCTGCGTTCTATCGCCCTTTTCAAGGAACGTACTTATTTCAGAAACACCCTGTATATTATTATCACCTACGAAAGGAATAATTCATAAATGCATAAAACCAAGTGCACAGCTTTCAATGAATAGGAATAAAAATGCAGTTGCGCAAATTAAAGAACAATGGTGCTGTCAAAATTTCAACATAGGCAATTTAGTTGTAGCTGAAATTCTGATACATTTATACTGACCAAAACCTACCTGAATATTTATTTAACAAATCATAAATACATTTTAACACCCCGAAATAACCTCGGGTATTTGCTTTCCCAAACGTTTATCTTTCTGACTGGCAAACATCTCCAAATTTATCACTGATAAAAGACAAACAATCTTTTCATCTGCGGTTGCATCACCTGGCCCCTTTCCTGGTATCTTTTACCTGACACCAGAACTGCCTTCGGAATACCGAGCGTTCCATGCCGTTTTTATCAGCAAACTATGCTATATTTATGACGTCTGGAAACCGGTTTGAACCTTGGAAGCTTTCCTACGCGTGACTCATCCCGTACATGCTTCCCATGTCAATTAATTGTGATATCACTCCGCGGATTATTAACGAGCGAGTACTCTTTTGTACGAAAGGCGAACGGGTTAGTAATAATGATAACTGGGACTATAAATGAGATTGTTGTTTTCAACTATTCTTCTGAAAGGACGTCTTTGTCTTCGAGGGCATTATCGTCTAAACTTTTAAATGGTGCGTTGCGAGAGATAATGTTGGTGCCGGGATTATTACAAAAACACGCGTATTAACAAGTGTGGAAGATGTAGAAACATGGATAGTTAAGACAGAATAACAGCAGACGGTCGTTCACATAATATCCTATTTTATTTACCTTTCTATCTCGGAAAAAAACAGCCGCACTAGGCGACTGGCCATAAATTTCAGATGTTGACAAATTGCCTAGCAGTGCAGTGCAGCAACCCGGAATTATTGTTGATTATTATTATTTAATAACTTTTCTAACCTAAACTATGTAACAATCTTTCCTCATCCTTTCCTGACAAGGATATGTTCATACCTTCCCGTTGGTTCTTGCCGAGCAGTTATATATTTGAATGAAAATGTAAATGTTTTTTGATATTTCATAACCAAAATTTACCATAAATATAATAAAATTGTTTGAGGACATAAATAATTAAAATATGCTGTTTTTTGTACACATTATATACAAATTATTATTTTTTTACCTTTAGCAGAAAACTTTTTAGGAACGCCTATGAAACTCATTAAATTTTATTGCTAGGCGTTTTTATACATGTTCAACTGACTTCTGAAAGACTATAACCTTTGTTCAATATTTTTTCCCTTACGTCATATAAATTTTTAGATTTCACTTATTTTACTTTATCTTTCAGAATCTTCCACAAAAAGAACTACATGGATGTCAAATTAGGACCTCTTACTGATCATAAAATTATCCATTCATAAGAAAAAAATTTAAAAAATGTCCTCTAGAACAAAATAGCGTTATAAAACAACTTTTAAAATATAGTGTTTTCTGAACGAAATACTTAAAGATCTATTTAGGAAATTTAATAGCAGAAAAACATAAATATGATCTGATTTCATAGCAATCTAGGCTTCCTTTTAACCTATAGGGTTCTTTCTTAATCTCGCTCAGTCAATTGTTTTCTTTGAAATCGCAAGAAAAAAACTAACATTTTACCAAACAAGATTCCTGACCCTGATACAACTACTCTCTGTCAAGGGTGATGAGAGAATGATGAGAGAACAATAATCCAAGATACATTTGTGAATTATTGTGAACAATTTTTATATAAAATGCGTGTTTTTGTATTAATTATATTTAGACATATGATAGGTATTTAGTTTTTATTTTGGACAATTATCTATTACTAGCTGATTACCTGCTGGATATTGCTTTATGTATCTAGATTCTGGTGGAGAAAAACACTGTTTGACTTCATCTGTCAATTCAAACAGCAATATCGTGATTGTACTTATATAATTACAAACATCAATCACGTTACCCGCTAGTTTGGATTTGGATGAAGACATTACCAACTTATTAATTACATATTTGTAAAAATTTCTTTTACTTACAAATATATAACTTACAGTAACGTTACTTTTAGCTCTTGGGAATATTTCCATTATCAGGATACTGGAATATTTTACTAAAACAACTGATAGTGAAACAAATGTATTTACAAGATTACACTTATTTGTAAATATAAAGTTATCAGTTATCCCTTAACCACTTTTACTCATTTTCACCATCAATTATTAACTGCTCGCTGCAGATTAAGATGTCTTTCGATTTTCCAAATATCCAAGATCAAAATCTTCGTCCAGTTTTGCTTTTATAAAAATACTGAACTGGTTCCGTTTGTTTACTTTTAGCTGCGAAAACATAATTTACAAAGACACGCAATTGTTGATTTGCTTCTAAGAATGAATAGATATGTAAATATTATGTGACACCTATGTAACAGTGCCTTGGAATATATTGCAAGGCATTCAAGAGAAAAGATTCAGATCTAAAACGCGACCTTTTGAAAGTGGGTACATGCAAACCACCTGACGTCGACACCTGACCAGAACTGGTTTTGTTACAGTTTGAACATAAAGGCAGATTTCAGGTAGCCGTTCTTTTTACCCATTTTTCTGTGCCATCCGGTAATTAAGAAAAAGAGGAACGTGCTTGAATATTTTAAGCATTGACTCATAACCTACCAGATTATTTTTAGTATCGCAAATAATAGGTACATTATATGAAATTAAATAAAAAATCCACATGGAAGTTGCTACACAGTAAAGAACAAGAGATAAACTTTCCAAGATTGGATCTAAAGTCTCTTAGCACAGGAAAAACAAAAGAGTATCTTCAATGTTATCAAACTATGCATGACGTAAACATAATTATACGTACCCATGTATGTTTAACGACATTGCAATGCATACGATATTGTGTACAGTTTGGAAGAACAATGCGATACTGACATGTTGAATAATGACTTTTGAAAATGGTAAGAAAGGTCAATATGCCTGGTTTACATTTAGCTCTGGGAATAAACGGATTATTCTATAAATATGTTAATCTTGTTTGTTTCCGCTAAACTATAGGATTTTCGTTTAGATATTCAGCAGATGGATATAATAAATGACTTCAACTACGAATTTACACTGCGCTTCAAGTATTCCGCTCCAAATTTATTTGAAATATTTGCAAATTTTGTCCTTGTGTTATTTCTACCTAATAAAGTCGGACGACCATGTTATTATCGCGACTATCGCGAAACCCACCCACATGAGTCTAAAAAAAAATAAATTCCAACTCGTTTGTGACTAATTTACATGATGGTAGAGGCATACAGAGCAAATGTCTTTTCGATTTGAATTATAAGTCTTGCAAGGACGTTGCCACACCTGAAATAAAACTAACAAGGAAACAGTAACATAAACATCCAGTTTGATTCAAGAATTCGAGGATATCGTTGCTTATATTTCTTCACACGATTCCATCCTGTCACGGTCTGTCATGCATCCCAATCAGACTCTCGTCATATTTAGTAGATTCAAAACAGTGGTTGTATGTCAACATTTTGTACTGTAGGTGGAAGATCAGTATTAGCTATGATAAAAATATGTTTGGCTTTTGGAAACAGAATCGGAACAAAATTAGCTATTAGTCATTTAGTTGTACGTCATTTTAAACTGAATTAACAAGAAAATATTCCGGTATTGAGTTTACGTTATATATTTAATGCAACCTTGCGTCTCTGTTTTCAATAACTGCTGACCGAGTAGCACTAACGCATTATACTGCAGAATTAAAAATGTTTACCTTTGAAAACCACTTTTCAGTCGATTCTGACGCTGCTTGGACAAAACCAAAATCTTCGAAGGCCGACTTCTAGCTGAATCTAGCACTGGTAACCCATCGTAGCCGATTATCTGATTGATTCAAAGAAGCAGACAACGATTCCGTTAACATACATACAACCAAGGGTAGGCTTGGCACTAAACACAACACCAACTATGTAATTCGATAAAAATCCATTAGCAAATTAGCTCGCAAGTTTTTTCCACCGGAACACACTCCACATCCACTTAATTGCACAGGATTAAACCTTCTCAGAAGATCAAAACCTCCTCATCGCCGTTTGCAACAAGAAAACAATTGCCACTCCAATGCCGTCTAGAAAAGCAGCGCACCGTCGCGACCCGCGATTGTGTAGCGACTGACGCTAGCAGTCGCGGATTCGGTAATAGCCTCGACTGAAAAGTAGCGGTTGTGGTGAATGAATAGCAGACTACGCGGGTTATTAGCAGGATAGCAGGAGGTGGTGTGCGTCCGCTGCCAGTCTCTGAACGACACTGTGAAGTTGAACGGCACCGATTTGGAATAAACAACGAGACGTCGAAGAGCTGCACCCCTGCACACCCTCCAGTGCGGCGACCTGCTGGAAAGGGGCGCAAGCTCCCTCCGTTTGGGGTGCACGTTGTGCGTGCCTCTGGGTGCGGACGGCCGCTCTTGATGGGGATTTAAAACTTTTAGTGCCGTATTGCTTACAGCTGTATAAGGGTACGTTGGAAAAATGTGCGAGGGATCGGTGCACCTGTGGCGGTTCTGGATGTCTTGCAGGAGATCCCGCAGACGTAAAGAGATAAAGAGATCGTGTATAAAGTGCGAACGGCTTTCTGTTGGCAGTTCAGAGATCAACAAGTATGTGAGAAATAACAGTGGATTCTAACTTTCTTTTATGTCAACGTTATCCCTTATGCGATGCTACCAAATAACAAATTATCTTTAAAATACATAGGGCTATAGAGACATGTGAATTTGAAAAAAATATTAAAAAAAACATTGGGTACAGTTGAAAATTTCATTTATTTACATTAAAGCAGGCAACCGAGGAAACTTCATCATTTCATTCATTCATTTATTTAAAAGAACATCATCCAGTTGTGTATTCAGAACTTAACCAAAAAAAAAAAATTCTGGATGTACAGGGGACCCTTACAAGTACAATTTTGTAAAGAAAAAATGAAAAAAGTCAGTTCGAAATTGATTTAAAAATACACTTCTGCACGGCACTGGAAATTGGTCCACTGTAAAACCTGACCTCGCACAATGCGACCGGTATGGCGGCGTGATAAAAACGGACAAAAACTTCCGCAAGGAAAGAAATATGTAAATAGAATTTTATCGCACCTATTTTATATCGGCAAATTCAAATGCTTTTGCCTTTATTAATTATTAATAAAATTAATTTGTGTTTTTAAATAATAAAATCATTTGACATACCCGATGCTGCAACAGCAATTGTTCAAAATTTTATCCACTCACGTGTAAACACATTTGGGTCCGTCTTACTCACTTTCTACGAACTAACACAAATGATGTCTTGCTTCACCATAACACAAATACTTCACCATAATACAAATGTTGTCTTGCTTCACCATAAATTAAAACGATATCCATCAACTCTGAGTTGCTATACACGCAAGCCATTTTTGACACTAACTACTAAAAAACTGATGTAAATACCACAGATAACAGGTAAAAACTACCGCAACGACGGATTTCAGTATTAGGAGTCACATGGCTCTCCACGCGTATTGCGAATGACGCTAGAGACTACAGTTGTCCAGCTATGTAGTGGTTTAATGTGCTATAACTTCAATAATTTTTTTCTCAGAAACTATAAGGATTTTACAAAAATTTTTTTTAATCGTCAAAAATTGAATTTCAAATCGATATTTTAATTTCAAAGTCACTCATAATTATTTTAACTTTAAAAGTAGTGTACATAAAATGTTTTCGAGCGACTTCTAAAAATAAATATCAACAAACTAATAATTTTTTTATTGAATTTGATGAACAAAAGAATAGAAATATGTAAATCAAATATTTATAATTTTTTAATTTTTTAAAATTTAAGTTTCGCGATGTATTTCTATTCTTTTGTTCACCAAATTCAATAAAAAAATTATTAGTTCGTTGATATTTATTTTTTAGAGGTCGCTCGAAAATATAGGTACACTACTTTGAAAATTAAAATAATTATGAGTGACTTTTAGAAATTAAAATATCGATTTGAAATTTTCAGAATCGAAATTTTTTTCAACATAGAAAATAATAAAATAACGAGAAATTTTTTTTTTTAAATTCAATTTTTGACAATTTTGGAAATTTTTAAAAAGCTTGAGCGACCTTTAAAAAATTTTTTTTTGAGCTGATTTTTTGAGGGGGCTCTTAAAACATGATAAACATTTTCACAAGAGACACAAAAAGAAATAATCGTTTTTTGGGCCACCCTAATCTACTTTTTTGTTAATTTGTACATTTGGGTTTGGATTAGCAAATAATGCTGCAGGGGCTGTTTTTTTTTTAATTAAAATTTGTTTCGCATTCAGTTAACTAAAATGAATGAATAGTTGAGCTAATTTTGGGATAAATTTATTATAATGTACCCATGTTTAATTTTTTTTTTTAATTTCTTCAAACAATCAGGTCTAGGAAACTGATTATTTTAATTTTATCTTCTGTACTCCTTTTGCAAAAATTTTATACATTGAGTGAGTCAATGAAAATTTAATTCATTTACACCAAAAACACATTTACTTTGATTACTAATAGGTAGATGTTCATCTTTGGATTTGCGAAATGTAAGGATATCATCTATGTAAATAACAGAATATAAAATCAATCCCCGGCAGAACTTCATTCGCCAATATTTGGAATGTTTGACTAGCATTTCATAAACCGAATGGTAAACGTAAAAATTCGAACAGTCCAAATGGCGTAGCCAATAGCCGTTGTATGAATATCTCTACAAGGGGCAAATTTTTGTCAAATATTGTCTTTCATCTAGAGTTTTCGAATTTGTTGTTGCAAACTCAACTTTTTAAGTATCCCAGAGAAAAGCCCACAGCAGACATGGAATGACCCATCAAAGCTATTTGAGTTTTCTTGCAAACATTTCGTTTACGACAGGCAAAGGTTCGTTAGATATGTGATACCTATGTCGCGTCGTCCTGTTTTGTTGTTTAGGGTTTAAACGCTAACAATTTCGAGAAAAAAAATTACTGAAATGGCCGATCAAACTGTAACTTTCTGTGAATGGATCTTGATGTTTCGACTTATGACTTTCCTGGGTCATTTTCACAAATCCACCCAATTGTATGTATGGCTACTATGTACCTACTATTACTACTTAAATACTCCACCAAAACCGAAAACCAACAATTTAAACATATATTTACGATGCGATAATTATTAATTTTAACTTTTATAACACCACAGTGAAAGAAAACAGAGAATTATCGGATTACAGATAAAAATTATCTCTACGGGCTTGGAATTAATACTATTATATTGTTAGCACAGGTCATTTTGATGACACTCCAAAGCAGATAAGAAGGGATAAACTTTTGCGAGAAGTGACTCTATTAAGTCTGCAATTAATATTTTTATGATTCTTGAATGTATCTATAAAAAACGATTTCATGATCAATGTGTACAAGTTGTTTTATGAAATCATTACAGGCTTGCATTTTTTTTATTTTGATGAGACGAATCAGCCTCGAAATATGTCGCAGCGTAGCTGCCACATCCTGTACAATACTCTTCGAATATGAAATCCTCACTTGAATCCTGTGATTTATATCCAACATGGCGGTGTTAAGCAATAAAAATTGCGCTTCGCCTTCCAGTTGCACCCCTTATTCATAATAAATCCAACGAGATCTAATATCAACCTCCAAGTGTGAAAGATACTTCTTTAACTCGATACACCGAATGTAAATCATTTACCGCGACTCCAGCAGTAATATATTCACCCCTCTTACATCCCCTTAACAAATTTTAAAATTGTTTTCCAAGGAATCGCCAACACGACGCTATGTGCAATAAATTTGAATGGGAGATGTATTGCTGTGGGCGATCTTGAGAATATTGAAATAAGAGTGTCGTTTGGGATTGGAATGAAATGATGAAATTAAAAATTACTAACTCAACAGCTCTCGTTCAGATTAAATAATAGGTGTTGTTTTCTCGTCGAGATATTGATGTGAAAGTAGATGATTTGATAGAACATCTTTACAGAGGTATAAAAAGTTGTTTCAATTTGGAAAAGCGTGGCCATTAATGACTCTTTAAGGAAACACATATCCATCTCTTTGGAATAAAACTTGGCACAACATTAAAAAATAAACTATGTAAGCTTTTGCAAAGTCACCACCGTTGTATGAGAACTGTTCTTACAAGAACCGAAAGCAACATCAGGGCAGGCCTAAGGGTTCTGATAGCGGGTTCGCCTCAGAGTCTAGCCCGAGAACAACAAGGGCAGATCAAAGATTTCTAGCTAGGGTTAAAGATAGGTTCCATAAAAATGAAAATAGAAAAAAGCAGAGAGCAGGAAATTCACAATAATTTTTACCAAACCAAATGCTTTTAAAAAATGATATGAATATAAAAGAATGTGGCATGTATTTGATACACTGCAAAAATTATTATCACACATATTTGAACATATCTATAAAATTAAAATAAGCACCATAATCCGGATATTTATTATTTCATAAAGAGTACAAAGTACATGTAATGTGGATTTTTATCGTCGCATTATATTGTTTTATTAAATAATATAAAATTCAGAACATTTATATTTATTATATTATGCCTTACATTGTTTATGAACAATTCTATTATCTTGATGGTCATTTCTCCTACAAAATGAAACAAAGCAAAATTATAATTTCTGTAGTTCTTAAATTCTGTAGACTAATGCCCTGACTATTGTTTTTTTCCAATAAAATAGTTTAAAAATTGTTTCATCTAGTAGAGATATGTCATGCTCCTTCTTTTCATTCTTTAATAGCTTCTAGCTTATTGTTAGATCTGAACCCAACAAACACTATACGACTATGCTCAACAGGGAACGTTCTATCCAAATATGTAAAAATATACCGGGTGTTCCATTTAAATTAACAAAGTTAACATCTGCAACCATTTTGTTTGGACTTCATTTGTTTTTCTACTATCACTTTCGAAAACTTCGTAAGAAATCGTGCAACTTTTGTATTTCACATTTTTTTATAACTATAAAAACAAAACAGTTAATGGGAGGGGGATCACAATAAAGTGAATCACTATGTACGTGCGAAATACCAGGTTGATTTCTGCCAGTTCGGCAGTTTGAAGATATTGAGTAGCAGTGATCATTCATAGATGCAGCACTGTTATTATTATTACGTCTCACCTATACTCAATCCATGTCTGTAATTAAGACCACCACAACCAAAATTAGGCGGATCATTTGTCAGTCAAA